TAATTAAGCAAGTAATTATTTCATACAGTCTCTAGCTCCCCTGGGAATCTCTGTACTAACAACTTAACACCAGATTGCTAATATCTCAAAGTTTCTAAATTTAAAAAACATCCTTAAGGATCCAGGCCTCTTCCTGCATGAATGAATGTTAATAAATACAGAATCATCTAACTTAGACTATTTCCCATTTAACAACTTGATCTCTTTCAATTAATATCAGCAAACTGCCTTGAAAACTGTGAATCATAAATTTCCAGTGATTCAGGGAAACAGGTTCTAGTCTGTTTGTGCTATTAACATCCAGAGTAGCTCTGTTGTTCCTCAAGCACGTATTACTAGTTAGGGTAGCTGAAGCAGGCAGCTACTGTGTCAAAGGTGTAAAAACAGCAGTTTATGCCTTACACTGCTACTTCTGCATGCCCTGAAAACCCTGAGTTTAAATCAACCAGCCCGAGCTGTGTCCTGACTTCCCCTCCTAGCCCTAGCAGTCCTACTGAACCCGGTTAAGCCATCATTAGTTTTAGATCTGATTTTCTTTTCTTTAGGAGCACACTTTCCTCACACACTCACTATGAACAAGGACAAACAGGTTTTCTTCAGCCCTTTTTTAAAATCCACTTTAAATTTCCCCAAAAAGCTTTTCCCAGAGATGTTAGCCACAGATCTACAGACAATCCTGCTCTCCAGCACAAGAAACAGCTTTCTTTCCAAAACGCTGCTCACCTTTGATGAACTTTCTCCCTTCTTTCCCTGGAAATAGTCTATCCAAGCAGAAGAATGATATGTTTAGCATGAACTGCACTTCTGCTGCACTTCCCCAAGTGGAGGATACAGTCATCTGACTGGTTAGCTCTAAGAGCTGTCTATCCTGCACATCCAAGCCATAGCAGGAAATAGGATACAGGTCTAATGTCAACTGCCAAGCTCTAACAACTGCAAACATCATTTTCCCAGCACCACCATGATGAGGAACTTGGAAAGGTAAGACAGATGTGGTAAAGTCAAAAAAGGGTAGGCCTGAAGCTGTGAGTTGTCACAACATCAACACAGGTCTTCCGAAGCATTCACAAAACTGGAATTCAGCTGTTACTGCTGTAGAAACAAAATTACCCTGCTTAAGATATTGGTACTTAGCAAGATACTTACCTCCTTCTAGCATCCATATCCATGGAGCAAAGCTCTTAGGGCTTCTTTGCACTCAGTTCAGTGTTGACCAGAAACTTCTTACTGCTCTAAGTAAGAAGAGGCTCTAAGTAAGAGGCTCTAAGTGTACAGCCTCCCCTACCTCACACACATGCTCGTGGTTCCTGTTTTGGTGATCTGTCCTCCAACACTTGATAAACCAGACAGAACAAGGGCAGTCACAGAATTAAGTGCCAATGTTCATGTTCCAAATGGAAGTGAAAATGAGTAAGTGACACCAAATACAATAGCTAGCTCAAATCAACTAAGGGAACCCAGTTGAATTAACAAGTATCAGTACTTGCTGTCACAGAGCAAAGGCAGCAATTTTTCTATAACAATTGCTTTTGTCTCATGGCAAAAAAATGCAAGCCAAGCACAAATGCTAGGCTGCTGAGAGGTGGTAAAGAGAGATGAGAGGAAAGAGAACTTTACCAAATGGAAACATGGCTGGAAGACTTGGACACAAACTTGAGCATACCAGCTTGCTGAACAATCTTCTATCATTCACGGACTGCTATGAATAATTACCCTACATAAACATCACAGTTACTCTTCCTTACTAAGAGTTTCAGCCTAGGAAAGTTGGTTTGGGCAGCCAGGTAGGAAATATATACTCATTCTGCAGTGAAGTTTGCCTGTGATCATTTACAGCTGCAACAGCAAGAACAAAAGCTGTCAAATATGACATGGAAAGCTGCTTGGAGTCTGCTCAACACTGCTCTTCCTTAACACCTGTGTATGTTCTCATTGCATGTGGCCCTGTCTTGAATGAAGCTTTGAAAGGCCTGGAGTCCCCCTCTGCTGCACAGGCAGAGAGAGAGCAGAGCTCCAGAGATGACATGTACCACACACAGCAGCATGGATATAGCCGGAGTCTGCCTCAGTATCATGAGGAAAACCCTGAGGACAAGGGTATAGTCAAGGCCCTCCTTCAGAATTCTTTGTGTAAGCTTTCCTTCTCAGCCTGGGGGACACTGTCTCATTAGTAATTATCTGTTCTTTCCTTCAACAGGAGTACAGAAAAATAACTTCAATAAGTAAAGCCCAGTAAGTTAGGAAAGAGGATGGGGAAAAACACTAGCTCATAAAGCTCACCTGACCTAATCCTTACCCTTGTACCAGCTTCTGCCAGCAAGAGAACAGATGAAGTTTACTTATCACTCAGACATAATCTACTTAGTACTATGTAACATGCTGGAAAAAAATAATATACATGTTTTTTAAAAAATCAATGCCATACACTATCAAAATGCATCCATTAAACAGACAAACAAAAAATCAGGAGATGCACACAGCTACTGAAAACTCATAACCATGGAGGGAAGTTGCCCCTGTACCAAACTCCATTCACTACTTTTGTTGATGATGCAAAACCAGACAGCAATCTTGGCTGGTCAGTGCACAGTGAATGCAAACAGGAGGTGCAGTCATTCAACAAAATGCAAAGTCAGACACCTTCCCTCACACCAGGCAGGTCACATTGGCTATGGACAAGGATTTAGAAATTGGAATATACAGGCACTTAACACATGTTTCTATTGTCTCACTATGACCAAATGGAATCACTCTTTTCACCTACAAACTAAGAGAAGTTACCCTTCATAGGGCAATGGTATTTTTTTACAGGCTCCTTAGGGCACTTGAGACACCAAATGAAGAAGGGCAAAGCTGTATGCCACTCCTAAGAGACTTGTAAAAGCCAGTTAAGAAAAAGCAAGCTCTTGGGAGTTGGCTTAAATGTGCTTTGTACTTATCCATAACAAAAACCTTAACAAAAAAAAAAAAAAAAAAACTAAAATTTGCAGAAAAAGGTATTAAAAACTCCTCGTATGGGGCATTGGCATGGTCAACAGTGGGAGTCCCACACGGTTGAGGTGTCTGGATTTTACAAAGCAATACAGAAACTGGAAAGGGTATACACAGAACCACAGAAACTACTACATAAGAGAAAGTACCCTACACAAAGAATCTGAAAGGGCTCAGTTGGTTTCATCTCTTAACAGTGATGTTAGAGGTAAGGCAACAACACAAAAATCCCCTCAAAGGGAGGGACTATCAGTTATTAGAGGCCTCTTTAATCTAGCACTGAATAACCTAACAAACCAGTTGCTGGAACCTAAAGGCAAACTGAAAGCAAGATACTTCTCCCTCCCACACACTGCTTTCTAGTTTGTGTTAATTAAAAACTGCCAGAAGTAGTGCATCTACCAGTCTTCAGTTTAGCTGCTCTCTCTCACTGTTATGCTCTAGTAAAATATGTATTTTTAGCACATACAATTCTGAAGACTGAGACACAAATGCTTAGAATATATATAAAGTCAAACTAGATAGATTTGTCTTTAAATTATGAACCTGAAAATCCATTTTTCTACAGATCAGCACATTCACAATACATTTGAGGTAACAGATGAAAATGGGAGAGAAACATGGGTATTTAAAAGTTTCAGCTGCCCTCAGTATTAATGGCAAACATAAACTACAGCTAGGATGCTTTCTGTTTGTTTTCAGGATTTCAACTTTTGAAAAATCCCCAAGATTTAAGTTGTAACAAAAGGTAAAACTCTCTCTGATCACTTGTATTTACAAGCTGTCCTCATTAGATTTTTTTTCAAATTTGCTTCTTCTACAATGATAGAAAATGTATATACAGTATCTAGTGCAAAGATTAAACTCAAGGCCTCAGAAACCACACAGTGGAAAATACTTTGGAAAATCTTGGAAAGGTTAGGTGAGACAGTCCAGCTACTGAAAGAAAGTAGTATGAGCCACAGTTCACAGAGGAGTTTGGGGCTGAGGTATTTTCCAGTTGGGTTTTGTCAATGAATGGGACAAGAGGTGGCTGGGGACTGGAAAAGGGATTGTTTGGTACCAGGCAGGTACACAAAGGTGTTACTCACTTTTAGACTGGATGGTTTAAATTCTGAGTAAAAACTACTACCTAGACTTCTGAAAAAGCTACTGAGTGGCAGTTCAATAACTGTGAACACTATGCACCAGAAGGGACTTTTTTAATAAGCCATGTCAATTATCTGAGCATTGAATATAACCCTTCCCCTCCCTAATAAACTGCCTGCAATATAGATGGCAATCACGCCTGAACAGTAGCAAACTCCCAAAGCTGAAAGGTTAAACAAACAAACAAAAAAATCCCACAGGTTTTGCTTTCTCTTACTTCAGTGGGAAATGACTAAAACTAACCATTAGCTTCCATAAATTCTCATCCTCCTAGCCTATTCCACATACTCCTTCTCATCACAGAAACTCAACTCAGGCAAAGGCTAACAAGACAGGCCATTTTCTTAATGTCTGCCTCTTTATTCTAAAGGCTGTGATACAACAACATCAATTTCTAATCATCCACCTTAATACACACATGTGCTGCACATGGACACCACAGCCAAATATTCAGAGCAGGTCACAAACAAGTTGGTTCATGCTGTAGTTGAAAAGATCTGTCTACACACCAGCCCTTCTGCTATCAGGCACAACTGGTTTGCAGGCCAAAGCAAGTCACTGCATGCCTTAGCCCAGGCTAGCCAACATCAATATTGTTCCCAAAGTCCCTTAAGAGCATGGAGCAAAATTCCTCCTGTTTCCTCTTCCCCTTACACTAGAGCAGTCTATAGGACAAACAAGATTTCATGTGGTCCAAGTGCTCTGAAACTCCAAGATGATTTAGGAAAGCCATGTTCAACAGCATAACCACTTCTGTCTCCAGCAGACAGCAGGAACACAGCCCTGAGCAAACACAACAATTTCAAATACATCAGCAATGTCCTATGAGAATAGAGATAAGTAAAGCACCAAGACACCAGTTTTTCTTTGAAAACATATATTGAATATGTGATCTCGTTCTTTGGCATCATACAGACCAGACCATGCATTTTGCTTTTCTTTTACAAAAACAACAAAACATATTGATTTCTTGGAGACAAGAGAAACAGGTCTTACCTACAGAGCTCCTATCAGCTGGGGCATTTAAAACTATTCAAATCACAGTGAGGAGATGAGACCCTGGAGGTAAATTCAGCCATATACTTTCCAGAGGAGGGTCTCTTCCCTCTGGTTTTACCTGCTAGGCTTTACCCTGGCTTAAAGCTGACAGCCCATCCTCTGAACATCACATAACTCTTCACAAACAAGCAAAAGCCAGGACAATCCCAGCCTGCTCTCAGCTTCTCCCTTTCAATCATCAAGATTTTCCTGACTGCAGAGAGCAAGTTAGCTGCTACAGAAAACTTTACCTGAAGTATTCCCTGTGCAAAAAATAACCCCCAAAAGAGACCTCTAACCTGAGAGATGCAGACTTCACTTGATGAATACAGGAACTATTGCTTCACAACTAATTTAAAGACTCTTCTGCAGCTTCAGCATGCCTGAATCTCTTGTCACCACTTATCCTTGTGATTCAGTTGTGTTTGTCTCTCTCCAGTATGCTAGCATTTTGTGGAAAGCTTTCTCTTACAGCTCTGACCCAAAAATTAGCAATAATTTTGACAATCAAAATCTTCTAGCAGCAAGCTATCTTCTATCTTTCCACAACTGGCAAAATGTCTCACCAATACTGCGTATTGCTGTTAAATGAGCAGCTACACTGAAGATTTCACCTGTGAAACCACAGATCAGATTTTACACATTTAAGGCATTTATTTAGCAACAACCAACAAAACTTCAATGGGAAAAATAATATAGCCTTTGCATTGCTCCTCTTTATTCATGGTTCAGACAGAATTCATTAGATTCAAAAAAAAATTCTGTGGAAACAAGGCAAAGCCTCTAGAAAATGTTTTTGATTTAAAACCACCCCAACTCCCACTCCCTTTAACCAAAAGTTAAACCTTAAAATGTGGAATTGATGAGTGTATTTCAAAGTTCATGGTGCAAAATAGGAGGATGTCAAAACCTCCTCAGATTTGTCAAAAAATACAGCTATCCAACTCTTTACATAAACACAATCTCCCTTCTCTTTTTTCTCTCTGCTTCTATTCACCCTACAACAAAATCAATATATACGAACATCAGCAGCAACTTTGATGATAGGCAATGATCCTTTTTGGCATCAGTTTGTGACAAGATTGTTGATTCTCTATCTTTAAATTGCATCATAGCTGTGTAAAACACGCAGTGATATCCCAGACGTGAACTCTTCACATCCGCTGTCGATACCTCAGCAAGATCCAGATTGCTGTCGCAGCAAGAGCCAGGCCTGGCACAAGAATGGCTGCCAGAGGAAGCCCACCTGATTCTCCATCTCTTCCATGACCCACAGGGCCATTCTGTGGCTGCAGCTACAAGGGAAAAAAAAATTATTTATGTCAGAACCCATAACAAGAGAGCTCCCAGTTCTGTGTCTGGACCAGGAGGTTCTGTAAGCATGTTCAAAATAGTTTACCTAGGCACCTGCAGACTCCACACATGGAGGGTTAAAACAGTTTAGGATGAACTGATCATAAATGCAGGGTACCCAATCTCTACCAGGCACCCTCATGTTTCTCTGACAGTTTCTAAACCAGGACTCAAGTGGAGCAGGACACTCCTCATACAGCAGAAGAAATAACACACACATACCCAGTCACTCCTTGATGCACTTGCCACCACACCATTTCCTGCTCTCTTTACCAGGAAAAAGACATCAGTAATTCTCTCTGGTTTTCTTACCTGCCTTATACACCAGTCCAGAAGACTTACTACTTTGTTAGGGGAGTACAAAAGGGATCTCAAGCCACCTCTCCCCACCAACATGCTTTGGATAGCATGGAAGTTTACAAAAGAAATACTGATCTATCTGGGGATTAAGTATTTATCTCTTTTTACATCTAAAACGGTGCTAGTATATTTAAAGCATAGCAGTCCATATTTCCTATTATCATAAAATCATTTACATTGGAAAGACCTCTAAGTCCAACCATTAACCCAGCACTGCCCAGTTTACCATTAAACTAAGCACCACATCGGCACATTTTTTAAATGCCTTCAGGAATGGTGACACAACCACTTCCCTCAGCAGCGTGTTCTACTGCTTGACAACCTTTTTTCAGTGAAAAAATTTCTAATACCTAATCTAAACTGGTGCAACTTGAAGATGTCACCATTTGTCCAGTCACTTGTTGCCTGGGAGAAGAGACCAACCCCCACCTGGCTACAGCCTCCTTCCGGGCAGTTGTGGAGAGTGATAGAGTCTTCTCTGAACCTCCTTTTCTCCAGGCTAAACTCCCTCAGCTGCCCCAGCTGCTCCTCATCAGACTTGTGCTCCAGATCCTCCACCTGCTTTATTACTCTTCTCTGGATATGTTCCAGCACCTCAGTGCCTCTTTTGTAGCATTGGGCTGCACACACATTTCAATACTAACTTGAGTGAGGGCCTCTGAAACAAAAGGAGTTCTGTCTCCAGTAAGATTTTGGCCACTGAAATAAAATTGGGCAACGTGAGATTCTGTATTCACACACAAAGCTTTACCTCTGAGAAAGGAGAACAGTGAGCAAACACAACATACTCCAGCAAAACAACGACCTGGGGACATCTCCAAACTCACCTTTTCACCAATAAAAAAGTTACACTGGTTACAAAGTAATACAGAGACAATTACAGTTGAGGCAATAAGAGAAGGTCATAGGTCAAACAAAATTTTTATATGCACATATCACACTGAGCACCTGGACACAGTACTCTTCTTCCTCATGCACAGCCACCAATCATAGAAACCAATCTAAAGTGAGCCAGAAATAACCCTAAGAAAGAGGTAAAACATACCCTGCGCTGGATTTTCAGAGACACGTAATAGCCGGCATTCCTGAACAGTTCCACAGCATCCTTGTGCCGCAAATCCTTCAAGTCTTTGCCATTAATCTAGCAAAAAAGGAAAAGGAGAGCCAGATGCTGAAGGTAAAGAAAACAAATTTTCAATGATGCAGGCTAACCTATGAAGAATAAGACAAAAAAATCTTCATGTTACACAAAATTCTACATTTGGGGCATGATACTGCAATCATAAAGATCCTAATTAATTAATTAATATTATGATGTATTTTTATATGTTGAGACAGAACATGAGAAACTTCAAGTGAAAACATGGAGGTACTGAAAAAAACTAGAAGCAAAATAATAATAAAAGACAACAGTTATGTCAATAGCAGCTCCTGATGCTGCTGCTTTACTGGAAACAAATCAAAGGTGTGATTCTGAGAGCTAATGAACATAAAAGAGCAGCTACAGCAAAATTATTATTTTAAGTCTCTTCCCTTGTTTCATCTACTGGTGTACCTTTGAAATCCCTCTGTTTGAGAGAGTTCTGTAAACACACTTTTATAAGCACACTGATGTAGCAAAACCAACAAAAAAAAAAATTACACTCATACTTCTTGGCATCCACTTGATCCGCTTGCAAGTGTTAGGATTTTTCTTAATTTAAAGTAATATATCATGTTACTTGATTTCATCACTGAGTGAATTCATCCTACTTTTTCATTTTCACCCCCATTACCCCTAATTGTATCCCCTAAGATCACATTCAGTGCCTCCCTTCTCTTCATATTTAGACACCCCAAACACAAGTACATAAATATTAAACTGTAAGGAAAAAGAGAATATTCTCTATTTAACTTAATATCACTTTTTGGATCAATAATAAGCTCCATTTAGTGCAAGATAAGAGGCTAAAAAGATCACATGTGGAAAAAAATAAGCAAGTGTAAAATAAAATTAGGGAGTACAAAAAGGTTGTGTCTCATACTAGGAGAGGCTACTTCTTCACCCATCACTTTGTAAAGCTTGTTTCGTGCATGAAGAACCAGTGAGTGTGAACATCAGACACTTGAAAACAATTTTCTAAAAGGAGAAGCAGCCTATGTTATTCTTGAGGAGATGAAATGAAGAGAAGAATATTACAGCCTAGAAGTTTTATAGTCTAAAAATCCCCCTGCGAAAAAGGATCAGAAATCACGGATTACCAGTCAAAAAAATGGAAATTTAAGAGGTGGAAAACCTTTATTTACATGTGTGTAAATGATAATCCATCCTGAACAAGAGAACGCTTGATGGATTCTAAAACCTTAGGGAGGCAAGTCACAGAGAAAACACAAGCACAGCACCACAAAGCATTTCCGTGGCAAATCAAGAAGGCAGAGGAGACGAGCCCATGTGTAGAGGCACTCACCTCCCTAGTGCTCAGAGCTCTCCCCAGACCCCCAGGCAGCTCCTACATGGAGTTTGCTTGGGATCATCTAATTCATTCACCACATCCCTCTTCTCTATGCACTGTGAAGGAAAACCTGCCTCTCACATCACACCACTGATCAAGAACACAGGGGACAACAGAAGAAAGGGCTTACCGCTAAAATTTTATCTCCTTCTTGTAATCGGCCATCAAGGTAAGCTGCCCCATCCTTTTTGATCCAGCTGACATAGATGCTGTTGTCATTGGCAATGTACTGCTGATCTGTCCCACCAACAATGTTGAAGCCCAACCCTAAGGCGAGCCAAAGAGAAAGATGATGAGAAAAAGCTCAAAGCTTCAAATGTTCTTGCTGTCTTGCTCATTGGGGACTGCACTCTCCCATACTGCCTGGCTTTCTCCACCATACAAAAACTCACAGCACAACAAATCTGCATTATTCTTTCCAACCACCACTGTCTAGAAAAGTTATTCTCATAAAACTAGTCTTGAAAGCACAGAAGAGACACTAAATGCCTGAGGACCCCATTTGCCTAATGCTTCATTACACAAAACACCTGTGAGCTGTTTCAGGTGGGTGCTGTGGAATAGTGAGGGGCATGCCATCATTTCTGAGACACTGATTCAGCCCTCAGCAGGAATGAACTTCTTCACCACAACATGAAAGAAAATGAAAGTATTCTGCATTTCACATGAGATTATAGTAAATCACTACCTTTGAGCTACAAGAAATCACCTCTGACAAGTGTTTTGAGCTGGGAAACAGGGTAAGGAAAGGCAAGGAGCATTAGACCCTGGCTACAGATAGGGAAACAGGCAAGGAGAACTGTGCTACTATCTTGAGGGCACCTAGAGCTCAGAAGACACCCCTTCCATTCCAGGAGCTGGAAATGGTGTGCTTTGCTTCCAAGTATAAGATTAGGCTACATGAAGCTACTTCAAATTGTACACAATCACTTTTTTATGTTCATGAATTCAAACATGATAGGAAATACAGACAAAGTTTGCAGATTTAATGCAAAACAAAAAGGAATATACATACATTTATTAAAACTGATGCCCACTATATATTTTTGCCATTTTGTATTATTCTTTAAAGGAAAGCTCAGTTACAGATATCTATCTGGATCCAGCTTCTGGATTAAAGTTAAGACTTCTTGTTTCATTGAAACCCAGAAGAACAAATTGAATTTAAAATCTGGAAGCCCAAAGATTATGAGACTCCCCACTGTACATGCAGCTAAGTTTCTCTCTAAATAAAAATGCATGACAAGGGACAGAAAAGATTCCCCAAGATGCATGAAATGAAAAAAGAAAGAAAAGGCCAAGGAGAAAGGAAAAAAATCAAATACACAATTAAAGTAAATGGAAAAAACCCAACTTTTTTTTTCTGACATGAACCAGTCATCCAAAAGCTACTGTCAAGAAGAGCTGAGGGCAAGTTCTGCCCACGTTCAGCCAGATTGATTTATTTGTTTTCATTTTATTTCTTATTTTCTCTCAAACTTGGGACTGGAAACCTTGGGAAGCAGAGTTTCAAATGAAAGTAAAACCACCTTATGCCTGCTGAGAAGCAGCATTTTAAATTAGTCACAGGAGATCAAAGCATTTACAAAATGAGTCATGGTATTTTAAGTGTGCATCTACAGCTGGGAAGTAAATAATATTAGCAGCAATTTTGCCACACCTTTTTTTCCTTCCCTTCCTGGCAGCTTCAGACAAGTAAGGAAAAAAATGAAAGCAAGAGAAAATTTAAGAAATACTGACATTTCAACTAGAATAATATCTGTTTCAAGAAGGACCAGTTGTGCACAGTAATACACCTTTCAATAGAAAATGAAAAGAAAAAAATTATAAAATCCACATTCCTAAATATTATTTGCCATAAAGCAAATAATTTAGGAAAGGGAGAAATCAATACTACGGAAACTATAAGGTTTCATCAACACTTATTAAAAAGCTAGAAAGAAGGAATTAGGATCTCAGAATACATTGATTCTCTCATATATAAAACCTCTATAATAGCTATATATAGCTATATATATAATATATATATAGCATATATATATATATATGAAAAAAGTATACATTTTGCAACTTTTTACCCATAACTGGAAAAATAATCAAGATTCACAGCTTCCATCAGCAGAGGCAGGTCTTCATGATAAAGACGCAGCAGTTTGTGCTAGACCAAGTTAAGTACTCACAGGGTTTTTTCACTGTGTCTTTCCAGCACTCAGACTTGCACTCTGCCTAAAAATACCTTCCCTATCAATCCTCAAGCTCTTTGCTATTCTCTTCCTTCCAGTTCATGCAGTCACAGAAAGAGGCACAGCACATTTGGAAGAAAAGGAGGAAGGGGAGAGAGCACATAGCCCTAAATCTCTTGTCTACCAGGGACCAGAAGCAGAATGGCAGAGCTTTAAAAGCAGGCTCTGGGCTAAATTACTGACCCTCCCTGAGGCTGCAGACCTCCCTATGCCTCACTTACCCTCTCCGAACTAAAAAAATTCCTTCAAAAATGCCTTAAAAAAAAAAAAACCCAGGACTGGCAGGATTAGGAAATGAGAAACTGAATATAAGAAAATTTGAAAAATATAAATATACACTTTCCTGCCACTAAAAATACATTCATAACAAATGCAAACTTTTGCCAGAGGTGTTTAGCATCAGACCTATTTTAAAAGTTGCAAAGTCCAATTCAAGAGATTACAGTATCCAATCGTACTTCACAGATAAGTTTTGTTCCTTCCACAGAAATGAGTAATAATTCACATGGCAAGTGCATCAAGTCCGTAAGGGGATATAGGACCTTCAAATTGAGTAACATAGTAAGAAACCTAAATCTAAAGATGCACAGCCCATCTCAATGACTGGACAAATGCTGCTCATAGTAATCGAGACTGAAATCACAGTGGTCACATTCAAGACCATTCTCAACTCTGCCCTTTAATATTTCCTTACACCTTCCTTAAAAGTTTAGCTCCCCAGATGTATGGAAACAGCATTCCCTTAGGAACCAGCTTCGTTTGGCACAGTTTTCCCTGACAAGCACAGCTTCATTAGCTTAAGCTCATGGCTATGCAAGTAGGGCTACCTAGCTTTCAGACCAGATGTCAATCTGTCGAGCAGGGAGGCAAAGGGCTGCTCACACCCTCTGGGTTCTGATCACAAGCATGAGGGCCTGGACCAGCATCAGCCCTGCACGGGATTTACGTGCACCCCAGAGAAAGGAAACGCACACACCAACAACGTGGGTGCTGGGCTCTGGGGAGCCCCTGGAGCCAAGGCTGGCCAGCAGCCGCACCCAAGCAGTTGCGCAGAACAGAAGGGCTGCCACGTTTTCTCCCTACTGGTTTAAATTAAAGAGAAGGCCTCAAACACTAAAGTACAACTCTAGCTCCAAAAGCCCTCCTGAAGCCGCCATGTACGTTTTGTGCCAACTTGTCTCACTTCTGAAAGTGACATCTAAATGGTACCATAAATCCTGTAAAAACGTAAGGCTTCCATGAGTGCACCTGCTGTTGAGACATGAAAAGCAAAGCCAAAAAATGCCCCACGAACTGCCCTATTTCCTCTTCCTTCCAGGCTATGCTCCCCTCTCTCACACTCCAAAGCATCTCAAGGTACGCCGCACAGTGAGCACCAAGCTGACAATACAGGGGACGGCCACTTGGGCACAGTTTTCCAATGGCCCCTGACTCAGAGCACCCAACGCGTCTGGGTGCTCGGCCGCACTTGGAAGCAATAGCTCCACCGGAGATGGCAACTTCCAGGGAAAACCGGAGGCGAGTTGTCCGCAGGGACACCAGCGTCCACCGGAGCTCTCGCAGAGGACGGACTCTGACCCAGCCAGCTCTCCCTCAGAGCAGGAGCTTTTCCCGCAGCAGCGCACCCGCCATGGCTATTTCCAAGGAAGGCCCCTGGGGCCGGCACCTCTGGGCGCTACGCTTCTATCCTCGCCACCGGGACCGACCCTCCCTCCGCCGCTCCGCCGCCCCGGTGCCCGCCACGGCCGCCCCGCCGGCCGCCGCCGCCCCGCGCTTCCGCTCCGGCCTCGCCGGGGCAGCGCAGGCCTCGGCGCGGCCGCCCCGGCCCGGGAGCGCCGCGGCCCCGGCGCGGAGAGGCCGCCCCCGCCTTACCTGAGGGTCTGCGGGTGAGGCTGATGATCTCCTCGGAGTAGCCGCCGCTCGCCACGCTGCCGTTCATGCTGCGGCCTGAAGGAGAACTCGGCTCCTGGGCCAGCCGCTCTCACCTCCTCCCAGCGGAGCGCTGGGAGTTGTAGTCCCCGCGGGACGGGGCTGCTCCCGCGGGCGCCCGGGGCAGCCGCCGGCGCTCACCGCAGGGGCGGAAGAGCAGCGGGCCCGGGGAGCCAGCACAGCGCCTCCTGCCCCGCACCTTCCCTGGCCCCTGCGCGGCAGCTGAGCCTAGCCCTGCCTTGCTCCCCAGGCTGGAGCTGGTTTCCTTAGGAAGGTTAAGGAACAGGCTATAGTTGGCTGGGGTAGGCGTAGGAGAGAAGGGAGATACGTGACCTGTTCCCAGCCTTTTAAACTGTCCTCACAGTAAACTGAAACACAGACCCGACCGTGCTGGGCAGGAACAAAAGCCCAATACATAGCTGGGCAAGTAGGACAGAGAGCAATAAAGTGATCTATATTCAGAAATACAAACGGTGCACAGAAGCACCGTGCTGCTGCTGGGGCAAGAAATATTTAACTAGATCCTGTAGAAGGTGTTTGGTTTGAGGATTTGAAAAATTTCCTCAGAAATTTACAGAACAGATAATTACCTAGCAATAAAGGGCAAAGTAGTTCAACTTACTGTATAACAGAGGAGCCACTTGAACCTGGGACTCTACCTCAGAGATTACCAATAGATTATCTGGAAATAGCAAGGAAAAAAATTATCATTATCTGTTTCAGCACATGCTACAAATGTGTCAATACAGACAATGACAACAGGGAACAATGTCACTTGAACCACCCGACTGCTTGGCACTATGAGGACAGCCACATCTAAATGCTGCAGGAACCTCTCTGATGAAAATGAGGACCAGCTCATCTGGTCTTCAATGTTACACTACCATTTTATTTGTTTGGTATTGCAGTAAACATAACAGATATTTTTGACAGCATTCGTTCCAAGATTATCTGCACTTCTGGATTCCTGAATTTAATAGGGAGAGACAACCTGGGCACCGGATCTCTGACTGCTACAACATTAATGTTTAGTGCTAAACTGAGTGTTAGAACACCTCCCTCAGAGGTGGGAGACAGGCATTCAAGGTCCAATTACACTTGCAATGATGAGCAAAACCGTGACTCATGTGATAGACTTTTTTGTTGTTGCTAGTAGCATTCACCCCAAGTTGAGAACTTTTCAGTGTCTCATACTCTGCCAGTGAGGAGGTGCACAAAATCCGGCAGGGAGCATGGCCAGGACAGGTGGACAAAGGGATATTTCATACCACAGAATGTCCAGTATATAAGCTGGCGAAGTCATTTGTAAGGGGGCCCAACACATTCTGTGACAGGCTGGGTATCAGACAGCATGGGATGTGCAACTGTACTGTGCATCACTTGTTTCTCTTGGGTTCTGTTACTCTCAACTCTCAACATTATTGTTATTGTTATTGTATTTTCGTTGTTTCAATTATTAAACTGTTTTTATCTCAACCCACAAGGTTTACCTTTCCTTTCTGAATCTCCTTCCCACTGGGAGGGGTGGGAGGAGAGTGAGCAAGTAGCTGCTAGGTACTTGGCAGACTCCTTCAAGATACACAGTGTTCCGTAGCAGCAATTTAATGTATTTTAGAGATGACAGCCTTGGCTTAGAACAAAACCAATTTTATCTTGATCTGAGATAACTGCAATGTTAATGTTTTTAAAAGTTTTTTTTTTTAGCCAGGAAGAGATATCAAATAAAAAACATGGGTATATTGTAACTCAATCCTAGGCAGCTCCAGGCGTCACCTATCACGACTGCCACATATTAACAGCTGAGCCTTAATACCCTTAATGCACTGGCACAGACCATTTCACAGAATCAGAGAATGGTTTGGTTTGGAAGAGACATTTAAGATCATCTAGTTCCAAACCCTCCTGCAATGGGGCTCAACTAGTCCAGCTTGTGTCTTCCTATTTCCTCCAGCACCATTTCATGTACTACAGTGACTCACATCTCTTGGGAGATGGTGCAGCAACATTTGCAAATTGACTCTTCACGTATAAGTGACTTACACACTAACCAAGTTTCCTCATCCATTTAAAGCATTTTAAAATGCAGTTAGAACCAGAAGGGGAAAAAAAGGGAAACCAAAAACATTAGGATTGAACTTTGACCTGCACCTTCATAGCACCTTCAGAGTAGTGGGACATTTCTAACAAACCAGCAGAAACATCAAGTTTTTCATTGCTGTGTGGAAATCAGAAACAACAATATTTTCAAGGAGAAATCTCAGAAAGGAAGCTGTCACATTTTATGAAACACAGACTAGGTTTGTTGAGATAGATGTCTGTCTTGCTCATATGGCCCAAGAAGAAATGGGAGAAAAGTATACAAAAATACTCCTATCCAAAGCTCACGGAAAGCCTCCTCCCAGTTAAGCCCTGGTTTTGCAGAACAGTCTTTAAGCACAGAGAAAAACAGAAACTACAGCATTTTATTAATTTATCTTTCCCAAAACTGCATTTGCAAGTAAGTTTTCTGGGCTAAATTGTGCTTTCATTTACAACTCTGTCTTCAGTATGCAGGTCTGCGAACAAGAACTTCCTGACTCTGGTGTTTCTGTCTCAGCATAGATCTATACTTGGCAATTTATAGTATACTATTGATCAACAATGGTAGGCCATCAAGGAGGCAACCTGAAACTTCTACCACTCTTTTTGTATTTAAAAAGCAAAATAAAAAAAGTCCTAGTAGGTACTAGATGTGCATAGATAGTTGGAAGGTGCTGCGTGTAGTGCTTTTGTTACTTTTTTCTCCATCTTTCAATTAATTTTCATTGCTCTTGTCTGTCTCCTATCCCTTGTTTGAAACACCTGAATTACAATTGTTATTTCTCAGAGGACAGCCCTCCCACTTCCCCAACCCCCAAAGGAGGTCTCTGGTTATGAGGAATAGATGTGGTGTTAGTCAAGGGCATTTATCTCACCTTTTGACATAAATGCAGGATTAAGTTTTCATCATCTAATCAAAACCATCCATTTTCTATCATGACAATAAGCACAGCCCAAATAAACAGTGTGTTACCTCATTTCTGCAGACAGCATAGATAAATATTTAAGGACCCATTTGCTCTAGACAAAAAGCTGGGAAAAACTGTGAATCACATGCTTCATATTTCACATCCCATCATAATGTAATTGGCCCTTTTTAGATACAGGACACCAAAAAAATACACATAAAAAATACAGGAAAATGCGTATTCTCAAAACACACAATATATATTTGGGAGGCAGCAAGAGTTCACCATAATAATTTGTAGAGTCGCCAGCATCTTTCTTCCCAAACTTTCCCGAGTGTTGGGATACTTATCCTGCCTTTACAGAATGTTTGCTAAAAGTGTGCTCTTTATTTTCTAAATACAAATAGTTCTTTTGTTAGCAGACAAGTGCATTATAGCCTTTTATCCTGAAACATCTTTTAAAAAAAGGTTTAACTGTGATCTAGACTACAGACTCCTCTTCATGTTGATCTTACAGAACGATGTAGTTATTGCTGTAATAGAAATAATAACAATAAAACTTACTGAATGGTATTTTCATGTCTTAATATTTTTCAGAAGTTGGACATATTTTATATTGTCTTAAAAAAATTAAAATGACAATGCTTCTGTGTGGCACTCCATAGAGCTGCAAGGACACATTCAGTTATAGTTATTCAGAGAGTAAGCCAAAAGAAACCACCTGAGATTGTCAGATAAAGTATCTATCAAATATTGCAGGTATTGTAGGTAGGGGACACTTGCAGAATAATTCAAAATATTTTAGAAATTCAGTTAACTTGGGGAGCCCCACAGGCACCTCTTCTTAGAGACCATAAAATACACAGCACTTCTCAGAAGCAGCCAGCAGTCAAGACACTGGAAAATCTCCAGGAAATAAAAACTATTTGTTCTTGTGAAATGCCAGATTTGGTGTCACTACACTGTTGACATATATTTTATAGTTCAGAAATGCAATGCTTCCTGGTTGTAATCCTTCTGTACTCTTTTACAAAAGGAAGACCCTGTTTCCTATGGTCTACCTCCCTCCTGAAGAGCTGCTCCCTGTAAACAGCTGGAAGCACTTGTGAAAGAGACACCTGTATCTCACTGCAATACCTGTTCCTTACCTTTTGTGTGTCACAGATGTGAATTAAATCACAGAGACACAGAATAGTTTGCCTGGAAGGACCCAGTGGAGACTCCAAGTGCAATTTTTTTCCTCTGGTTGTAAATGAATGACAAAAGATGTTCACAAACATCTCTCTCACTGAATTGATGAAAATACTAGGTGAAGGAGGAAACTGAAGCAAGTAATTTATCTACACTTGTTTTAAGAAATTTGCATTTTTAAACTGTTGATATGAAACATAAACATAATACTAGCAGTTTACTTAAGCACATCAGTTTAAGAACTCAGGGTACAAAGAACAGTATGCCTTACTACCTGCATTTATTAACTTAAAAGAAAATATACAGAGATAAGGTTTACTCTGCATTTAATGATATCAGATGAGATTAGAGCTGTTCAGAACCTGTTGAATTATTTGGATGAGTTATCAGATGGCTCCGCTAAAGGGAGATTTCCTCAAGAGAATCCAAAGATACTGCTTTTTAAACTTTGGTGGATTTTGACTCACCAGCAGGCAAGTTTCCTTTAGGAACTTTTGGTTTTTTCAGTCTTTGAAAAAACTGTGATATTCTATGGAATTGGAGTTTTTTCTTCGTAAGCCATCCCTCTATTTCCTGTCTATAACAGATGGAAAGGGCTACTCCAACAATACACATAGAAAAAAAAACAAATAGTGCTATTCTTACTCTTGCTCTCTGAGCCCTCCTAATTGGAGGGGGTCCACTGTCAATGCTACCTCCAAATCCTTCCAATTCACAATATGGTGGAGCCCAGCCATACTTACAGTGACAGTTCTTACGATTGTTACACACCCCTCTGTCATGACACTTTGTCATGTTGCAGTCGTAGTTCAGCACTAATACACTCATACATGTCCTGTTGATACAAAGCATATCACTACCACATGGTGTGCCATCTTCCACAGCTCCCACATCTGTTCTTGGCACCCCTAGGTGATAGTCGAGACCCCAACAATTTTTATCTCCAACCGGAGTTTGGACTACTGTTACATGGTTCTGCAAGAAAGGTATTTTGACTATGTTTTCACACTGAATCCTACCACATAAGACATTCTTAGTACTGCATTTTGTAAAATGGATATTGTCAGGAATACCACAATTCCCAAACCGGTCACCTTGAGTATTCACTGCTTTGAAGCAATCTAAAGGGGCAACCTTGGCTTGTTTGCCAAAGAGATGCCGGCACTTTTCACTGTGGGAAGAACATTTTCCTTTATAACAATAAATACCATCATTGCAAGGAGCTCCATCTTGTACGTATACATCCAGTGGGCACTGAGGGGAAATCCCATTGCAATACTCTGGCAGGTCACAGCTGCCAGTACTTGCTCTGCAAAGTGTTCCTGCTGGAAGGACCTTACAGTTCTTGCAGCATTTTCCAGATGCACACTCTGAACCTGCAGTAAATGTACAGTTTGAGCGACAACAAGGATCCCTCTGGCAGCTTGTTGCTGAACCACAGTCACATTGCTCTCCTCTGTCTACTATCTTATTCCCACAGTATTCATGTTTATCGGTGTAGAAAGTGCCAGGTGCTGGTGGTTGACGAAGGCATGTAGCGCCACTTACAACCAGATTAAAGTACTCTTTGTAACTGCAGTCACTGAACGAATCCGTTTCAGCATTGTTTTCATACATAATGCATGTCTTGCGTTTGCAATTGCATTCTGGTTTATCATGGGTCATCCCAAGATTATGGCCCAGCTCATGTACAAATGTGATAACAAGTGAAGACAACTGTTTCTCAGTGTCGGAAATAACAGCTGCTGACCAGTGCGTATCACAGACTGTCCCTATATATGCCAATCCCAGGCTGCTTCCAAACCACTGAAATGCAAATAAATGAGCAGTATCGTGGTACATCCGAGGTAACAGGTTTGACTTTCTCCAGATGTTAAAGGCATTAAGTACCTGGGGAATAGAGTTAGTAACATTTATAAAGTTATTTTCAGTCCAGATCTCCAGTCCTATAAGAAACAGCCGCACAGAAAGCTGTTTGTACAAAATGTCCCCGGAATTGATGACTTGCATGATATGCTTCAAGACTTGGGATTTGCTCCTGCCTGACTTCACAAACAGCACGCGGTCCACGACCACTACTATCTTCACATACCTGATGTGCGTCCACCAGTCCTTCAGCTTTTCGTTCTCCTCCTCTGCCTTGGGAGCCTTAAACCATGGCAGCACAGCCTTTTGTTGCTGCAGTACCTCTGGCGTCAGTCCGCAGCTGGTTCCCTCGGGGCTGTTGGCCTCCTCCATGCGGGAGAGAATGTGCCGAAAGGCCGGATCGTTGGGGACGGGCTCGATCTGGTAGGTGTCATCCTCCACCCAGAGCACGCCGTGGAGGCCCCTGCCGCAGGTGCTGAGGGCCACCAGGGAGCCGGGGCTTCCCAGCACGTCGCCCTGGTAGAAGCAGTTGTCCCGCACGAAGGGGTGCTCCTCCCGGCGGGTCCCGTCCGGGCCGTAGGTGACCAGGGTGAAGGGGCGGGAGACCAGGCCCCTCCTGGGCTGCAGGCGCAGCACCCGCGGCCGCCCCGCCACGTTCAGCCAGTAGGAAAGGGCCGGGGCGTCCTCGCCGCCGCGGGGGCTCAGCTGCCGCGGCACCGTCACCCAGGCGGCGTGCGGCTCCGCGGGCCGGGCCCGCCGGGCCCCGGGGCCCCCCGCCACGCCCGGCAGCGGCAGCAGCAGCAGCAGCAGCAGCAGGAGCCCCGGCAGCGGCCCCATCGCTGCCGCCGGCACCGGCCGCCCCCGCCCGAGCGGGGATAGAACCTGGAAGGGGCCAGCGCGGGCGGAACCGCCCCGAGGCTCCAACTGCCGCCGTGCCGGGCCCGCTCCCTTGGAAACGGCACCTGCGGCATCGCCGAGAGCTGCCCAGCCGCCTCCAGACCGCCCGTCCTGCTCTTTGAGCCAGAACAGAGGCTCTTGTGAGGAGGAACCAGTAAATTTGCCTCCCACAAACTCGTTCTCAGCTTTTAATAATACTAATTTCAAATTAATGGGTACTTCTTCTGAGCAGATATAGCGAGGATAGCCCCCAGTTCAGCTTCACACTCCTTGTCACAAATGTTTGTGTTGAGCAAAGGGATCATCTGGGTAGACCACAGTGGGAAAGTCTGTTTTAAAAATCTCAAAAGGTTGACTTTTGCTTTTTTTGCTGTTTTTATTACAGGATAATTTGTGAGTGGACATCAGAAACAGGCTAAGGCTTAGAGTCTGAAGTGAGTAAGTTCAGAAATACTCCCTGTGGTGACCTTAGCATGTCCCTTACTATAGCTAATACAGCATAGACACCCTCCAAGAAAAAAGGTAGAACCAGGGGAGAATTCACTTCCACTATGTTCTATAATATAGGTGTAAACTAATAATACCAAGTATAAAGTCCTCAATCCTATCTAAACCACAGCTGCTACATACCTACAACAATGCACCTTAATTACAGACAGAACTTATGCACAGCCATTTTCCCACATCATGTCCTCTCTAAAGACTTGTGATTTCATAGCAATGGAAAGAGAACACTTACAGGTACATCTACCACTTGGCTACCATCCCCATTTTGGGTACAGTGTTGGCAAGACACAACCAAAAGACAGTGATCTGGGTTGTGGTAAGATAGGATGTCCTGTGCAACACAGATGTACACTAGTTTTCTAGCACATAGTGCTGGAATTCGACATAGCCACAGCTGTTACATTTTAGGAACTCTTCACAACTTTCTTTCCATCACCACAAGCACATTTGGGATGAAGTCCAACCTGTTATGGCCCTCATCTTTCTCAACTGCAGGAGGTATATCCTTCTACCATCCCATATGGATCTCAGGAATCCTGCCTTTTATCACCAACTTCCGTGTGCTGACCATAACCCTGGCACAGGCAGCAACACCTAACATTTCAAACTACTGGAGATAGGTACTGCCCCTCAGGAGGCTGGGCAAGAAAGAAAGAAGCAGCTGGCAGAAAGCTCAGAGCTTCCTTCTGCTGCCTTATGCCCCAGGGTCCTGAGAGGGCTGCTACCTTATGCTGGGCACATGGCAGGCCTAACTAACAGCTTGTGGAGGTTACCAACTATTGTCCAAAGGTGCTTCAAATTCTGTGGTTTGGTACCTTGCTCATTTCTTGCAACCATGGCCAGCATTAGCAGCATACACCTTGTAATACACTACCTCAGATTAAAGGAATGAATACAGATGCCTGCTTCTATTAGGATACATCTAGGAAGATCTTTCTAGATATCCATCCAAACTCATAATCTATCTCTTTTAGCCTTAGATTTATTTTCCTATTGATTTTAAAATTATAGAAACTGTTTCTGGTGAAGTCTTTTATGTGCAGCTAGCTGCTGAATGCTTGTCCACTATTTTTCAATTATCAGTTTTGCATTTCAGTACTGAGAACTACACCAGATTATGTCTTTTGAAATAAATATAACCCAGACCACAGTAATGGAAAAATCCTGTTACATAATCTGCGTGCAGTCTGTAGGGCTATTTTAAAATGCATACTTCTGCTGTGTGATCACTCCTTAAGTTATACAAAAGACCCTACTAAATCACTCTGACAATTTGCAAGAGCCATGTCTTACCACCCTTCCATCTCTCAGCATGAAGTTGCCTACTACTTACTTTCTCTTTTAATATAAATATAGCTATACAGTTAAGACTAGAAAATACGCAGGTCTCAAAGTACTAGTATAAAGCTAATCTATCCCCTTTGCCTTGTCCCTCCTATTGCCCATACCCTTCTTGTTCCAAGAACAGCTTGGTCTGGCAAATAAAATGTACTGACTGACCTTGTGGCATCTAACTTTCTTTGCTAGGAAAAGGCTGCCAAAACATTAAGTATGGCAGCAGAGTGGCAAAGAGAAATGTGTGAGAGCGATATATAGCCTGGTCAGACCTTACTTAATGAAAAGATGACAAATACAGTATTTCTGCTGCACCTGACACACCATGAGCTTTACACAGTAAACTGAGGTAGCCAGAGTGCCCTTCTCCCACCATCTGGCTGGATTTTTGCATGCATGTGTACACATACACACACATACATACAAATAGGTATAGCTGTTTGTGGGTATGCAAACATTTATATGTACTTTCAGGCTCTGTGGAGAATTGTTTCTGTTAAGAGTTCCAGGTAATTTTCAGCTCCTGCTACTCCATGATTTAGGCAAAGAAAAGCCCTTTTGAAGTCTAAATGGTTATTATCTAAGAGCAAAAAGTAGAGTTAGTTCACTTGTTCAACCAAATATCTAATTTATACAGAAGAAAGTGATGCATAAACAAATTTCAGAATTGCTTGCTTCTTTCCCTTTCATCTACAGGCTTTACAAATACTGAATGTCCTCTGGAAGGACTTTGGACTTTGCAGTCAGACTCTACACTGAGAGAAAAAGCTTAAATTCTCATGCACTGAAGAACATTACTGACTACAAGATATCTGCTTAACATTTCAACAGTAATATCTGACATAATGTCACTTCAGTAAATTAATATCTCAGCTCACTTTCCTGATGAAATGATTGTAAAATATCTGGTCAGCGAGTAACAGGACCAGATCTCTCAATCCCTCATACGGCAAACATTCAGCACTGGACAGCTACTACGAAATGAACACACTGGTAACATCCCTTACTGTTTTAAAATGTAATATGCTCAGGGAAAGACCATTCCCCTGGAAAAGGTTTATCACATTCAAATGTTTGTTTCATGAATGGAAGCCATTTGCTATCCTCTTAATAGCTTAGATGCTGGTGCTTTAACTCAGATGGGGTCACACAACGAATCCATCCCTTTTAACACCCTTTGACACCAGCCAACACCAGGCATTTCTGCAGAAGACTGAAAGGCTGCTGAGAGATAAATGTGAGGACAATCTGCCCCTTCATGCTCCACCCTTATCTCTGATCAGATCAAATTCTGAGCATGGAGTGTAATGGTTGAGTCCAAATGTAAATCCAATTCAGTTTCATTTACCTGTCCCCCTGTTCAAGACAGAACAAAAGTCCTCTACTTTGCTATTTGTTTCACTACTCAGTTTTATTAAGGTTTTGTATTTGTTTTCCCAGTGCCATCATAGGAGAAATCATTTTACTGCCCTTCTTCAAACCCTTCTACTTTAGGGAAATTCCTTTTCAGACACTGAATTGCACAACACACTTTATTTCGGGTGAAGTCCAGTGACTGATAGAGTATTTTGCTCATACTATATTCTAGCATGCATTTTTTGCCACAGTTGTATGTGCCTTCAGCAATAACTAAGCTTTCTTCTGCTAGTAGTGTTAAATATTTCCTTGGTGCATGAATAGATAATTTTTCTCCATTTAAAAATCCAAACCGAATGAAAAAAAAAAAAACCAAAAAAACCACACACAACTGAAGCCCAATACTCTAGATCTTCATTAAGTGCAGTGTGGCATCTGTCTTGATAATTTTTTCCAAATTACTTACAGGTTTCCAGCTCATTTAATTGCCATTTCCAAGGACTTTATTCTGGCCATCAACAACAAGGTCTGCTGAGGTGCCTCACCATTCATTTCTCATTTCTGGAAATCCTGGCTTTCCTTCATGGTGGTGGATGAGGGAATGGCTTTTGTGCTTCTTCCACTACTTGCTTTCAGAGGAATTTCTATAATACAAGAAAGAACCAACACCCTTTTTTTTCTAAGTATATTCACACCACCTTGTCTGGTTTTGAGCATCCCATAATAACTGCTTTCTATATTTTCACTTGATCTAATAGTTCACACTATTTAATCTACTTTTATCAACATTTTGAGAAATGACTGTTCAAACTTGATCCAGGTTTGAAATAAACCTAATACACACTCAAGTATATGAATATATGAATTTCAGATCTGTATCTGCATTAACTGAGAACAGCTATTGGCATATCTACATCTTTTAACATTACAACTTTGGATTATATGACAAAATGGCATGGATCTTTTTATCATTCAGTAATAAATAGCCCTGACAGGTCTTTCTATCATTCAGGAATAAACAGCTCTGACTGGAGAGCTAAGTTACTGAAAAGGAGTGTCTTGTAACCTGAAGATAAATTTGACCAGCTATCTGTGACAAAAAAAGGTTTATGTAAACAACATGCTTAAATAAGTGTGTAGGTGTCAGTGATCTTTCTCTTCCACTGTCCCACAGTGGAAGAGAAACACCAAAAGGCACATGTCTAATGAAGGAGTAAGAAAGTGCCAGGAGCACAGAGGAAGAGATGTGATTGATATATTTGAGTTACAGTGGAAAATTAGAAATATAAACAGCTTCACTGAGTGTGCAACATCAAGAAATCTTAGCCTGTTTTACATCATAAATCTCTCTCCCAAAACACTAACTTCCATAATAAACTATCAGCTTAACCATTAAGTAAAACCCATTTTCAAAAATATCTAGAAACTGAGACCATTCTGACACCTAATTACATGGATTTGAGGGTCCAGTTATCAGATCTCTTATCTTTATCCCAAGCACACTAGAGGCATAGCAATTTGTAGTGGGTAACTAACTTTTCCTCCTCAAGAGAGAAGACAATATATTCCAAAGTCCAAGCAAAAAAAAAAAAAAAAAAAAAAAAAAAAAAAAAAAAAAAATTGCTGCCAGCACATATGACATATTTCCTACTAACAAAGTATACATTTAAGAAAGGCATTCCAGCAGCCAGGAGTTTTATTTGCCAAGAATTCCAATTCCTTTTTATATATAAAAGTGTTTTTTTCTTGTAACATAGGAAACCTAGACACAAAGAATGTAGGAGTTTGTAAAGATTTCAGGAGGCTGCTGAACATGTCCATGTAAAAACCATTCTCAGAAGTCAGCATTCAAAGTAAGATGAAGACTGAAAACACCTTCTTTGAGTCAGTTCACATCCTGACATTAACATTTGCATGAGAGGTTTCTACAGAAAAAGCTGTTACAGGGATCTCAGTCCCTAAATTGTCAGTCTCAGTGGAAGAGCTTAAATATAAAGAAAAGGGAGCAAGAATCTTCTGTTTTCCAGGTACCGACTAATCCAGATGTGCAATAGCTTCTCCCTTCACTGGAGTCTCATTCGTTTTTCAGGTGGTCCTTTAGCACCAGCACTCTGGGCATTCTTTACAGTCTCTTTTTCCTCTGTCTTCACAGCTTCGGGGACTGGTTCTGGTTCCTTCTTGATTTGATCCACTAAAGATGTAACAGCAAAAGAAAGTTAAACCTCTGATTTTCATTCCATTCTTCAGAATATTTAGAAAATATTAATGTCACATGGGCAACATTAATTTCAAAGGTGTAAGAATAATAACCAGAGAATAAATTAATACTTTTATTCAGGTAAAAGGTGGAAGAGATTGAAGTGATACAGTTCAGACCTTTCCTGTTTGAAGATTGCCTATGATCAACTCAAATCTTCATTCTTATCCATTACTTTGCACAATTAGGTAATGCCAGAATTCCAAACCACTTCACAGTAGCAGCAGCAAGAGCTTACATGGCAACTGAAAGATACTGCATATAGAGTCTATTTTTTAAATCTCATGAAAATATTACAGTTTTACCTGGGATAGGCTTTTCTCCAGGCTTTTGCTGTGAGAGAAGAAAAGAAAACCAACACATTAGTGGAACCAAAGTTGTAATTCTCAACCCTTCCCGACATTAATTTAGGAATTAAATGCAAGCAATGCACTCTTATATGTAAGAGGTGAGGGTAGAATGGGTCACTAAATACACTTTAAACCAAATCCAGTTCTTCCTCTAACAACTGAAAAATACTAAAGACAAAAATATGCAGTTAGCCAGTCTTTCCCAGGACTGGCTGAGAAGCACTTTTGTGAGATGCTGTAAACATAATTTCCTTTGCTCCCAAGCAGAAGACCCGGTGGAACAAATGGCTACCCAAGACAATCAGAGGTAACCACAACTTCACAGAATGCCAAGAATTTTCATGCTAACTAATGAGTCTCTAGAACAATGGAGTAACTAAAACAAAATACTGTGATGGCTTGATTGAGTTCACAAAAGAGGAAACCAGTAGCAGCAGCAACATCTGACAGCTGAGAACAGACCCTCTGTGATCAGATAAGGAAGATGTATAATAAAATTCACTCTCATAGTTTTGCCAAGGTCTTAATGACTCCAGTGATTACAAATGGAGATGCTACAGCTACACTCTAATATGAGCCTTCCATGTTAAGTTTGTGAACTAATCCATGTTACTATTGCAGAAATACACTAAATCCCATTCAGTTTCACCTGTTTAAATACCTATGACTGTCTTTTAAGTTACAGTAAAACTGTAGCTTTTGAGTGTCATACCTGAACAAATCTGGGTGGAAACTTTTGCCTTAGGTCTAAAAGCAAAGCATCTACTCGTTGTCTTTGGAAAATAGAGCTTGGCTCTTCTTTCTTCTTGGCTTTTGGTTTAGTTTTCTCTGAAAGTCACAGAAATATTAGAAAAAGATGTATTAAAAATTATTTTCTCTTAGCAGCTCTTTGTTGTATGTCCTCCTGACAAACTGGTTTGGCTTTTGAAAATGTGTTTGGGTCCCCTGTGGGTTGAAGAGCTGCCCACTTTGTTGACACACAGTTCATTATTTTCATCTCCCACCCATGCCACAATGTTCATTCCCACCAGCACAGAAGGGCAAGATTCCTTTAACCTGGCAGAGAGCCCTAACCTGCCCTTCAGACACTTCATTTCACCTCTCCACCATCACTGTACATTACCTCAAGCTTTTCCCTACATTCCTTTCCTCTCCCAGAGTATGCAGGAGAAACTAGCAATCATACCTCGTTCTTCTTCATCTTTGAAATGCCACCAGTAGCCCTTGGATGGGTGATAGCGACAGTAGGACATAGCTTCTTCAAAAGCAGACTGAATTCCATGCACTGCAGTAAGCTTTCAGAACAAGAATGCAAGGCAGTGTTCAGAAGTCAAGGAGAAAATACGAAATAAATTTTTGAAAGTAGGTATTTTTAAATTAGTATTCTATACTCTTTTTTGTTCTGTAAAGGGAAATTGGAATATCCCATTTTGGACTGAGAATGTAATTTCTTTAATAGGTTCTCACAAGGCTCTTCTGAAGTGTTTTTCTAAACTGACAGAGAAAAACTTGGAAAAAATCAATAGCTTACAAGAACAGAAGAAATCAAAACAAATTTGAGCATCCAATTTAGGAAGAAATACCACATCAGTTAAAACCATAAGACTCATTTAAAAATAAGTATTACATTAGCTTAACATTAACTTTCCAAAGCAAGCTTCACTGATTACGTATTTAATTACTATTTCATATGTATGTCAAATAATTTTAAAATTTTGATTATTCAAACTTCATGCTGTTCTGCCAATTGTGTAGCTTCGTTATTCTGATCCTTCATCCTTAAACAATGTATCCTAGTTTCTGGGCAATACTGAACTCTCACAAGATCTTGCATTTTCATGTGGGATGCACACAATATTAACCAGTGGGGTTTGTTTTAAGTTACTGCACCATTACTACACAAGATCTTTGCTCAAAATAGTGAAGGAGATATTTAAACAGCCTGGGGGATAACCAAGAATAAAAACAGATATAAACCAGTACACATCAAATGCACAGAACACTTACAACTCTGGAGTTAATGACAGATCCTAAGTCAGGTGCTTGGTAAATCACTCCAGCAATAATATAGTAGTCAGCCAATGGCATAACTGTGAGAAGGAAAAAAAGAAAAACGTGGAATCAATTAAAAGCTCTGGCTGAAGACTGTGTATTTGTTGCTGAATTTCAGTCATAGCAGCAGAAACTGCAATATTTCTCTTATCACAAAATTTTCTCCTGTTAACCTTTTCCTTTAAGTTGCTTTATTTGCACCTTAAGCACAGACTGTAAGGAGAGAAAAAAACAATGTCTGCAGATATTTACAGATAGAAAAGCATGGGCTGTAAAGCCCTGTCCTACTGCAAGCAAATGATCTGCCTCATAGAACTGGGGCTACTAGAGCAACTACTAATCATGTGAAGTGCTCTGGAAGTAATTCCACTAGCCTTGGCTAGCGGTAGAAACCCCCAATAATGTAAGATCTCATTGTTCTGGACTCAGCTTTCCCTAACTTCTACAGTCCTCTCAGCTAGATTTCCCAGATCCAATAGAGTGAAGCACACACAAAGCATGCTTTTCTAAATTCGTAACATTCTGCCAAAAAAAGACTACCTTCCAAAGGCATTTGCTAAATCAGATTTTGAACCTCTACTGACTAATCAAAAATTCTTGTTCATTAGAGCTGCAGCGCAGAGGAACATTATAGTTGCTTCTATAACTCTGCCAAACATTGTTCAATTGAGAAACCATAGCAATGCTCCCAGCTTCACATTCCTAAGGACATTACCTTTGCACACATGTGTTCCAATTCCTCCATCTCCACTAACAATTCATCCAGTACTTGCATCTTATGAAGCCTGGACACCTGCCTAAATTAGCAGTCCCAGACAGCTGGGTGCCTATTACAGTACCCACTTCTCCTCAAAAGAAAATGGATGCTTAGCACTTCTTTACAAATGGAGCAAGACACAGAACAGCAGTTTTACTGTTTCACAGCTCTGTACCAGGTCCTACTCTCCTAGGCAGGAAACTCTCCCTAATCATTGATACAAAGATTTTTCTAATTTCACTTTCAAACAGAAAAAATCTTGTCTTAACGAATTTAAAATATAAATACTGTTTTTTTAAAAACACACAAGTCATAAGACAGGCCTGCATCAGTTGTATTTGAGTATTCTACACTAGCTATGAACTCATTGAATTTCAGTTTTATATCCCCATTCCAATGTCTCAAATACACTAATTTTTGTACCCCGATGAAATAAAACACATGGTAACATCTCAGCTAGGGAACTATGCAACTCAATTAACATTCAATCAGCGCAAACTTTAGTTCCCACAAACACAGTGGGAAAAACGTTACCGAACAAGTGTCAGTTAAGTTCCACCAAACATACATCTGCCTTACAGCATAAGTCTAAACACACATACTGTGGCAGCTCCAACTCCAGGCTCAATCTGAAAGGTGTCAAAATCAGAAATTAAGGGCTGTATGATAATTCT